TTAATTGATTTTGGTAAGTAGATGAACTGATAGTTTGTTGTATTAGTTGTATTTCTGGAGATCCTAAGTTTAATTGTAGTAAAATTTGAGGAATTGGTTAGTTTTTAGTAATATTATAAATATGGATAAGGTAAAATTCAAATTTAATTATATGTTTTCAAATATTTTATATATTGGAAAGTTAAGAAAAAAATAATATATCAAATATTTTCAAATATAAAACATGTTTTTAATAATAAAATTCTTAAAACTTGATCAATATTCTGAGAATATTGAGAACATTGAATTTTAAACACTATATACAAATTGTATATTTAAGAACTGTCAAGAAAAACTAAACTTCAGGCTTTTAAATTTATATTTGATATATTGTAGTCTAATTATTATAAATTTAGAAGCTCAAAATCTGGTTTTCCCTTGGCATCATTTATATTTAAAGTTTTTAGTCTTATATTTGTTTTAATTCATATTTTATAGCTCCGGTATAATCAAACTAAAATAACTGAATATTCTAAGACTGTAGCCTATGTTCACTAAAATGACAAGAGCTTATTACACAAAAGCTTGTTTATTTTATTGTCAAATTTATCTAACTGCTATATATTTTACAAAATATAGCTTTTTGTGAATTCCTCCTTACTTGTGAGCCTAGTTACAGAATTCTATATGATAAAATGATTAAAGGCATAATTCATGAATCATTTGTATGAAGCAAGGAATAGCTTCTCATATTTTTAAATAATAATATTATTGCTATTTACTTGATTACTGATTTGTAGACTATAAAATTATGTCATAGATACCTTGGTATAATAGCAACATGGCTAATATCTAACTTTAAGTTTCGTGAAGTGCTTTTATCTTGTAACCATCTCCTATATCCACATATAGACGAGGTTATAAGTACTGAGTTATTTCAAATTATAAAGGATTAGAATTTATCAAATATAACATATGCCATTGCAACTAATAACGAAGCAAATATAATTAAAGGTATTTAGCTATTAAGTAAACAATACCTACCAGAAGTCAAACAGTAGTCTTGTATAGTATATATATTACAGCTTTTAGTTTTACAAGGTTTTAATCAATACAAACAAATCTATTGTCAAGTAAAGAGTTTACAAGCATTTTTTCATTTGCCAAAACAGGCTCAAAGACTTCAAGAAGCTCAAAAAGACTCTGGACAATCATTTAATAATTATAATGATTGCAACCTACTTGATGTTTTAACTGATGTTAAAATCAGATAGAATTCTGTATATTATTCTTAGAAAAGAATAATTGAACTACACAATTCAATTTGACATATTTCTACTATATTACTTACCAAATCTGATAGAATATCATAAAAGGAGAGTAAAAAATTAAAGCAGCTATGTTTATCTCCAATAAAAAACAGTAAGATTAAATTATTTATATATTATAGATTTCAAAAATAAAATTTGATTAAACAAAATTTATTTTTGAATATTTTAAGTTATGTATATTAAATCAAACCAATTTGATTCTATGCTTTATATTAACTCCAATCTCTGCATCCTCCCTCTCTTATAGTGAAATAAATTTTAAAATTAAGCCTCCCCTTCAAAGTGGAGAGAGTAATATAAAACATATCATTAAGTTAGTTCAACTTAGTAACATCTGTACATGACATATCACTAGTCTGGCTTTATAAATAAGTTTTTTTTGTATGATTCTAAGTCTATACTCAATAATTACGTGAAATATTTTTTTCATATAAAAAGTTTTTAAAACATTTAACAAATAACTTTATAGAGATAATAAAGCTCTATAAATTTTAAACCTTTTGTATAAAAAGTTTTAATGTTTTGAAATAGTTCATATAATTATCGAGTATAGACTATAATTTAAACTTTAAATTTTATTAAATATTAATTGTTATTAATCCCTAAATTTTTTTTTTTTTATAAAATTTCTTTAGGATATAGTAAAGCTTTTATCCCTATTTGAAAAAATAACACACTGAATATGCAGAGCTATATATTGTACTCTAAGTCTTATCTACTCTTATGTAGAGCTATTAAAAAAATCATTTGCTCTTAAGTATAAAAATGAGGAAAGCTATGATATATATCTTAGTTTAATATATGGTTTAGAATATGATGAAAATAGTGACGAAAAGTCTGATAGTTCAATTAGTGATGATAATGAAATTCCATCTAGTAGTTCATAGCAGTATTGGCAATATACCCAATGCCAATTTTAACAAAGAATACAAATAACTAAAGGAAAAGGAAAAGGAAAAGGTAGAGTAAAAACAAATAACCGCAAAAATGGTAAAAATAAAAAAGAAATAAACATAGATAATTTTAATTATGTCAAAACTTTACTAGTTTCTGATACTACTAGTCTTCTTCAAAAAGTTTGAGTAGCTATCTTCTTATCATTAGATAAACTATGGTTAGCTCCATCAGATTTGGTTCTAATTGCAACTATACTTAACCTCGGGTTTAAAGATTTTAAATAGGATGATACATTTAAAGAAAAAAAAAAATTATTAGAATTATTACAAACGTTATATGATTCTATAAAAGAAGATTCACAAACTGAAGATATTAGTACTCAAAATACTCAACAAACAATATCTATTCACAATTATTCAGATGATGATAACTTTTTTTAAGCTTTAGAAAATAAAATAAGTGATAGTTTATTTGTAGTTAAGAAGGAGGATAAAGTTTTATATTATATAAGACTTTGACAAATTAATGTTAATCAGGATCTTTTAAAGTGATGAGATATTAATAAAACCAAGTTTTCTATCTTATCATGACTTGTACAGAAAAATTTGTTAATTCTTGCAACTTTTGTACCTAGTGAAAGATTATTCTCAGATACTAGTAATTATATATCTGCAAAATGTACTCAGTTATCTTCAGATTTAGTTAATCAAATATTATTTTTAAAAAGAAATAGTAAACATTTTGATATGTTCAAACCTAAAGAATCATAAAAAAAATTTTTTTTTGTTTATAGTTAAAAAAAAAAAAAAAAACTACAATTATTAATTATTTGTTGTTAAACAATATCAATTACTTTAGTTAATATATATTTAACTAGAGATGTTATCTGAACTTAGTTTGTCTCTGTTTGAAACTTGAACAAGTTTAACTCGAGTTTTTGATTACATGAATTAATTATGTAAAAATTATCTATATTGTGCTTGATTAAGTTCAAATTAATTTTAAAGCTTCAATTAAATCTTTTTTTAAAAAAATTAAATCAAAATTTTAATTTAGTAAACAGTAAATATACTCGAAAAGTATAGTTTATAGTATATGTATATAAACAAAGTTAAAACATAGTTTAAAACTCGATATTCGTATCTGTTTCAAATAGTGTTAGTTCAGTTTCTAAGTAGAACTAACTAATTTAAGTAAGATAATATCTCTATATTTAACTAGTAGTATATGAGAATTGAAATCAAATATTTAAATCTTTTGTAATGAGTTCAATGCTAAATTTTTTTATAGTTATAACCACTGATTTTATAGGTATATAATAATACTATCAATTGATCAATAATTGTATATTATTATAATATTATTACATGACCTGTAAAATTAGTAGCCACTCTGGTTATATCATTATAGTGAAAAAAGTTATATCTTGTTACTTCTGGCTTAGCCTTGAAAAGTTAAAATTAGATATCATTAAAAAAATATTTATATATCCTATTACATGGAAGAATAGTCTATTAATATTTTGGCTCAGGTTTAGTCTCAAATCATATGACATTAGTAGTTGAAAATAAAAAATTATGTATCATATTTTTAATTAGCTATTTTAATTATTCATGAGAACTGGTATCAAGACTAAGAACTGATTAATAATAAGACTAGTTTAAAAGACTAGTTCCTATTCAGTCTTTTCAGAACTAATCCATCCTTAATATTACCTATAATATATAATTATACAATGATCATAAAGGACCTTCATGATTGGATTAATAGATTTTAATTCGTCTTATTATATCTAAAGAAAAGAAAATAATAGATATTAGAATACATATTAATAAAATAACTATTTATAAACTTTATGAATTAAATATATAGTCATATAATAATTGTGAAAGATCTTCACAATTGGATTAATAGATTTTAATTCATCATAGTATATCTAAAGAAAAGAAAATAATAGATATTAGAATACATATTAATAAAATAATTTTTTTTTTTTTTTTTTTACTTAATAAATATGCCATCTGCGAGATTTTTATTAGTATAGATAGTTTTGAGTAATGATTACATATGTGAGAGTACAACTAACTACATATATAACTTTAGATTGTCTAATTTAAGTAGTCTACTTAAAGGTTCTACACTAGCTGCTATATCTGAAATTTATTTGAAAATTTACTATTTAAACTCTCTGGCTATATACTATTTCTATTCTGCTATCATTTATTACCTAAATTCATCTAACTTTATACTACTTCTATTTTTGAAAGATATCAATAGAGCTAATATGAATCTACAAACTTTATAATTTGAAGCCTAGGTCTATCTCAGATACCTCTTTATCAACTTCCTAATTGATAGGTGCTGTAGTACTCAAATTTGCTATACTATATCCTAATTTAGCTTGTATATATTATTGTTCAATATTTGTATAAACTCTGTAGCTTTCCACTGAATTAGTCATCTGTATCTCTAGATATTACATAAGATAGGCCCTTTCAAATCTGGTTACTACTCAAATTGGTATTGCTAAAAGTTATCTGTACTTCCAGATATCATATGGAACAGATTCTCCTAAATTCAGTTAGCTGCCAAGCTAAATTAGTGTTGCTATATGACCTCATATAATGGACTTATGCATATTTATTTTACTGATCTTTTTATATACAGATTTCCTAACAGATTTACTCATATTCTAGTTGCTAATCTTTTTGTATGCAGATTTTTTTTTCCAGATCAAACATTAACTAGTATAACTATTCAAATCTATACTACTTCACTTAACTCAGAATTTCTACTATGCAAGTCCCCTATTTGTAGATCCTATTAAGATTTATTTGTGTAATATTATGCTCTCCCAAATACCTATCACACTTCTAATATCCAATTGGCATTAATACAATATGATTTACAGAGTTACAACTCTAGAAATGAGTAGAGTTTACTATAAGTTAGATACAGATGTCTAGATAATTATTCAATTCTGTTAATAGTGAGATTTAAACCCTAGACCTCTTGTATAGCAGTTCAGCAACCTAACTACTATACTAAGATTATCAGACCTTATATAATTAATTTTAATTGGCTAATTCTTATATAATTAATTTTAATTAGTTAAAAATATATATGTTTTCTTTTTTTTTATATTAAATGCTAATTTTTTGAACTCATATAAACTTTAATCTTTTATAACTTTTTTAAAACAAAGAATAAAAAAAAATTCTCTAACAGAAATGTAGTTTATTTAAAAATCTATTAATTTGTCAGAGAGTTTTTTGATTTAACATGTTTTAAAAAAGTTATAACATTTTAAAGTTTTTATTAATAAATATTAGGTGTTTTTGACTATTCTGTATTATATAAATTTAATATAAAATTATTCAATATTATTATTTTTTTTAGTTTAAACTAATTTTTTCTTCTTATTATTAATATTAGTAAAAATTTATATCTACATGTATTTTAATTTAAAAATTTAAATTTGTTAAATAATTAGTAAAATTTAGAATTATTATTATTTAAAAAGTATTTAAATAAATCATATTTTATTATAATTTATGACAATAATTAATTATCTTTTCTGTAGTACTATCAATTAAATATTTTCAAGTAGATATTCTCTTTGTTTTCAAAAATATTATTTATTAAATTGTAGTAAATTTATTTTGAAGTTTCTTTACTAGTTTTCTTTCTATTTTTTTCTGAATATTTTTTAACAAAGACTTAAATTTTTGTATAAATTTGTATATTTAACTCACTAATACTAATATTTAAAACAGTACTTATATAAAATTTTTTTTATTCTTATAATAATAAAAAAAATTTTTAGACAAATAAAAAAGTAATAATCTAATAACTATATCATTTTACTATTTATTATTAGCAATATCTGTGTTATTCTTATTTAATAATTATTTATTCTTTCTTTTAGCATTTTAAGATAAAAAAAAAGTAGATAAAATAACTAAATCATTATCAAAAAAAATATTTTCTAAAGCTGATAATGATCTAGTTTGATTAATTAAAATAATATCAAATAAATTTGTTTATTTAACAAGTAAAGAATTAGAAAAATAAGTATATTCAGATAAGATTTAATTATACTGTATAAATTTTTTCTTGTTTATTAGAATAAATAGTAAAAATAAACTTTGTTTTTTTAATTTTTAATTGATCTTTTAAAATACAATTTGAAATATTAGTAAAAAAAATCCTTAAAAGTTTGCATGAAAGAAGATTTGAATCTCTATAACTAACCTTGCTTACTATTATAATACTAATATATAAAGTTTGCAAACTAAATCTAGTACAAATATTTGCCTCTAGCTAATATTGTAAATTAAAATATTTTTAATTATCAAATTAATTATTATGATTAATTTTAGCTATTATTACTTGATATTTAGAGATGTTAACAATTAAAATTCCCAATAATAAATAATAAGAATTTGATTTAGAGATGCAGAAGAATAGTCTTAATAATTGTCGTAAACTGAGTTTAAATTGCTATAACTTTGCTATAATAGTAAATAATATAATAAGTATACAGCAATATAGTCATATACTTACTATATTATTTACTATAATTATAGCAGGTTAATAGCAATTTAAATTTAGTTTATGACAATTATTAGGATAATTCTTCTGCATCTCTTGTTTACTTCTAATAGTAGTTCAAAATATAATTGCTAACCTGACAAAATTCTATTCGATGAAATTGTAAATGATTGTTGTTAAGTCAATGCAACTAAAAAAAATCTTGTGTCAGATCAAAATCTAACCAAATTAATTAGTTATTTTTTTTTTTTTTTTTTTTTTTTTTTTTTTATTTTTAATAATATCATAGTCGAAACTTTATTTTCAAAAAAAAATTAGAACATAAGTTCTATATTAAAGATTTCAAAACTATATTTGTGTTACATAAGTTTAACTTTCAGTTAAACAAGGCATCCAATGTGACATTACACCCCTATTTCCTATATAAATACTATAT